TATATATATATATATATATATATATATATATATATATATATATATGTATAAGTATAATGTATGAACATGAATGGACAAATTTGATACATAATAATATATAATTATATATAATTATATATAATTTGATATAATTTGATATAATTATATATGAAAAATTTTTCATTGGGGTTGCTTTGCAAATCTCCAAGTGTGAATGTTTATGTATCTTCTGGTGTTCCTTAGAACAGTAAGAAATCATATGACATTGATTACACGTTATTAAGTCACTGCTGGACCATTTGCAAACATAACAAACGTTTGGATTGAAAAGCTGATTATATTTGTCTTCTGTATATGATCCATCAAAAATTTTTACTGCGTCTAATAAATACATCGCGATACGTTTTAATAATTATCGTTTATGATTATTTTGTTTAGTATTATTTTGTTTGTAATATTTACTTCAAAATAATGCACGAGACTCGACAATGCACGAAGTGTAACAGAAATATTTATACAAATTATATATTAGATATTTAATCAGTAACACTACAAGGGACACTATTAACGGACACAAATATGTTTGTATCGAAATTGTTGTTGACAAAATAAATTCTGGCTGCCGATACGCCAAACTACAAATTTTCATTTGTGTTGGGAAGCAATATGATACATTCTTTATGGAAATCTACTTTGAAAGATTGAAAATATACTATAAAGTTAACCAAGGAAAATACTTTAGTAAATTTTAATATATAAATGAAAAAATGTCCAAAATGACTTTAAATTAAAAAAAATGAATATATATCTGTTGAAGGATTTTGAAGGGATCGTTAGGACATCATAAAAAAATTTCGATAAGTGCGAGGGTATCAGAGATTTCATGGTCACGTTTGTTTTTTTAAATGGATCGCAATATTTTTATTACTATGCAATGAAAAAGGATGGCAAGACGAATTCCTTCATACTGTATGTTGCAGTTTTTTATTCATTTTTCAAATAAATCAACAAAATTAATACGGATTTCAAATTAACTTGTAACGTTTGATTTGTCTTGTTACACTGTTCTTCTCGCGTATGACCAATAGACTTGTTTATTTACATACTTTCTTGCGTATTATAAAAGTGAACAAGTCGTTTTTAATGTCAGTGTTGTCGAATCATTCACTGTGATCGTTAACAGCGTTAACATTTGGCAAAATGGCAGATTATTCTCCGTCAGAAATAGTTGATATGATTTTTGTGCTTGGACAGTGTAACAATAACTACTATGCAGCAGCATGATTGTATCGTGAAACGTATCCTGAGCGGAGATAAATAAATGTATCGATGTACAGGGCGATGTATTCGAACATTTAGCACTGTGAAAATAAAATACTATTTGTTACTAACAAATTGTTACCAACACTATTGTTGGTTTGTTTGTTTGTTTCATACGTATTTACATACTTAAATGTGTAAATATGTAAATAAACAAGTATATTGGTCATACACGAGAAAAACAGTGTAACGGGACAAATCAAACGTTACAAGTTAATTTGAAATCCGTATTGATTTTGTTGATTTATTTTGGAAAAATGAATAAAAAACTGCAACACAGAGTATGAATAAATTCGTCTTGCCACCCTTTTTCATCTTTCAGTAACAAAAATATTGGGATCCATTTCAAAAAACAAAGGTAACCTTGAAATCTCCAACACCCTCGCACTTATCAAAATTTTTTTGTGATGTCCTAACAACCCCTTTGAAATCCTTTAACAGACATATATTCATTTTTTTTAATTCAAAGTCATTTTGAATATTTTTTCATTTATATATTAAAATGTATATAGATACTTAATCAGTAATAGTACACGGGACACAAATATGTTTGTTTTGAAAATGTCGACAAAATAAATTCTGGCTACCGGTATGACAAACTAAAAATATTCATTTGTGTAGGAAAACAATATGATACATTCCTAATGGAAATTTACTTTGAAAGACTAAAAATATACTTAACAAAGATAATCAAGGAAAATACTTTAATAAATTTATTGTAATTTCAAACAAAATTTTAAGTTTTTCGGTAATGTATTATAAAGGTACCTTTAAGTTTTAACTAATCCGTTAAAGAAATTTTTTTTGGTCGAAATCAATCAGCTATCCATGTTCTAACAACGTTGAACTTTCCTTGACTTTAACGATTGAGCGCCACGCGGTGATACTAATGGCTTTAACGATGTTCTTAAAACTTACATAATGTGTCTTCATAGTATTCACAGAACATTATAACATATTTATTGACTAACATTTAATTAACGAAAACATTAGATATGTTCCAAATATTGGTTTGATGAATATTATTAATAAATATTGTGTACTAGTGATTACATTACTGTTTTCAGATCTTCAACGAAATAT